TGGTAAGCAACTGGGGAAAATATGTTTTACAATATAAGGAATGATGAAATTTGTACCACAAAGCAGACCCCTTTTAACTTTCATATAAGGGAAATCCATTGGGTTTTCTTTTCTTTCTCTCTCTCTTTCTTTCTCTTTTCTTTTTGTTCCTCAGACAGGGTTTCTCTCTGTAGCCTTGGCTGTCCTGGACTTGCTCTGTAGACCAGGCTGGCCTCAAACTCAAAGAGATCTACCTACCTCTTCTCCCAGAGTGCTGGAATTACATAAAACATCATTGTGCCCAACCCATCTGGGTTTTTCGTAAAGTCCTGATTATGTCCAGATCTTACCTAATTTGTAATAACCATCATAGGCATAACTTCTCACCATTTGGTTATCTGTTTAAGGGACTCCTCCTGTTTTTTATTTTCTTTCTTATATAAAGTTTCTCTGGGCCCCACCTTTGCTCTCCTTTCATGTCTCTCTCTCTCTCTCTCTCTGTGTGTGTGTGTGTGTGTGTGTGTGTGTGTGTGTGTGTGTGTTACAGCAGCCCTGGCTGTCCTGGAACTCACTCTGTAGACCAGGCTGTCCTCAAACTCAAAGACATCCACCTACCTCTGCCTCCCAAATAGAATTAAAAGGCGTGCACCACCACACCCAGCTTTTTAAATTTTAAATTTATTTATTTTATATGTAAGGGTATCTTGCCTGTATATATGTATGTGCCCAAGACAACCGGAGAGGAGGTTGCATCCTCTTGAACTGGAGTTATAGATAGTTGTGAGCCACCATGTGGGTGATGGCATGCAAACCCTAGTCCTCTGAAAGAGCAGTACATGCTCTTAACCGCTGAGACTCCTCTTGCACCTCTCTGACTCCTTCTTAAGCTCCATAAGAGGTCAAACCATTGCTGAGATAGAGACACATGCTGGCAATAAAAAACAGTGAAGCAGGCAGGCCAAATGACCTGGAGAGAAAGTCTCACTAAGAAGAGGCCGTGACTCTTCATTATTGATGCCTTTGAAGCCCTTGATGTTGTGAGACTTCCCCCATTCCTCAACAGAATACAAGTTTTTGTGTGAATGTGAGCCTTCTCTTGTTCACGTTTCTCTTTTCAGCTTCCTAACTCAAAGGTTGACACCCTACCTAAAATTAAAATTACCCAGTGCTTATTTCTTATGGCTCCCACTATAGTTCAAGGTCATCTTCACAGAGGGCAGGGTTGAGTCTGGGTCTTATTCTATGGCCTAGGCCAGCCTGGAACACACTATGTGTCCAGTCTGGTTGTAAATTCTGGCTGCTGTTGCCTCAGTCTCCCTAACACAGGACTACAGGCAGGAGCCAGGAGACCAGGCTCAGTTTATGGTCTCTGTGATGAGTTGGGCCATTCTCCCCTCTTCTCAAGAGAAATCCCCCCTCCTCCCCTCAGTGTAGCCCTTCACCTGCCAAGCCAGCTCCAGGACTGCACGCACAGCGTGAGTCCACAGAGCCCCAACTCTCATCTTGTCCTCAATCTCACTAGCTAACTGGCTAATGGGGCTCCCCATGGAATTCCCACAACACTCCCTGGTCTGCTGCATAATGTTTGTGGATGTGTGGTTAAGAAAGAAAGCAACATTTGAATCACAGTTCAGTCACAGTGACTGCTTCATGCTGGTTGAATGAACCCATGAATGAACAAATGAACATGATAAACACATTAACCTCCACCGTCAGAAGAGTTGCGCTTTTCAGCCTTCATATAATTTAAAAATAAAGCCCAGTCAGTTAAAAACAGGGCAAGCCAGGGGTTCACTACAGATATTTCTGGGGTATGTGTGTACGTATATGACAGAATAAAATACCACCTATCTTCAGCCATGAATCAATTCCTGCTCTCTCTAGCTGGTCTACAGTTAGGCACTGAGGACAAGGCAGGTCCTTCCCATTTCCCTAGTTAAACTATGGGCTCAACAGTCTGAAGTCACAAGCGTGTTCAGATCAGCACTTACGTCACTATCATCCCTGCAAGCCAGGTAAGGGGGAGGGATTCATTTACAGATGTATTGCTTTGTTGGTACATTGTCCTGTTCTTCTGAAGAAAAAAAATTTCCCTAAACCACAGGTTGTTGTTGCTTGCTCAAGAGAAAAATTTGACCAATTTTCTCAAAAACAAACAGCATTTGCCACTCGTGTGTGTTTGTTTGGGGGTTTTATTTGCTTTCATCTGGAACGTCAGTGCTAATATTTCCTAGGCTTTGTGGCTTTAAATGTAATTTAACACACGGAGGTTTGTTCATGTCTTAATCTTTCATTTATTTGGCGCTTCTATGAAGGGGGGGGATCCTTTTAAAGTACAGTAGTCCTGCTTATAGAGTGAAAGAGGCAGTGAGAGAAAGACCCAGAACAAATCCAGGTTGCCCCTAAACATTATTGCAATAGTTTGTTGTTGTTTTTTAAGTAACATCCAGAAGAAGTAATTCACGATATTTGGCCCAGACCCAAACCTTGCAGTTCATATGAACTCTGAACCAAGACTCTTTGCATCTCATTTTCTCATTAGGTTTTATTACAAACAACAAAATCTTCAAGGGTGAATAACTTCCTTTCTCTATGAACACCAGACTCCTACATTGTTTGCACAAACTGAAACAGTGAAATTGTTTTAGCCAAGATTTAGGGATTTGGAAGGAGGGAGGAGGCAAAGAAAAGCCAGGCAGGCTTTTCTCTCTGCTAACCAGAGTGGTTTTCCAGGCCCTTTCCTTGCTGCGTTTGAAAGGCGGACCAGGTGAAGCAGAAATGCTATTGATTTGAAATTCCACTTAAAAGTGTCCTATTTCTCTTTCAAGTTCCCTTAAAATACAAGTCATGTACAGCAGGAAAAAAAAAAGTGTGCATAGCAGTTCCAAATGCATGAGTCAGGTCAAGACGGTAGTCTGTTCTACCACATCCAAGGTAGCAATAGAAAAACAAGCAGCTTCAATTTACCACGGGGAAGTGGAAAATACGGGATATAATCTCTTAGATTATCTCAGCCATTCATAAGAATTGCTTAACATTCGCTATTTATCAGACACAAAACAGGCTCTTGTCCTCAAAGCACTTATCATTTAGTTGAGAAGCCCAGACATGATCTTAAAATGAAGGACATAGGGCAAGGCAGCCTGTAGTTCACCCTTAAACTACGGGTTGTGACTGTTAAGGGATCTGAGGAACCAGAGGAAAGAAAAGATCACCAAGGGCTGAGTCTGACAAGAGCCCGAATTTCCATTACATTATTAAAGCGGTGTCAAATTAGGAAGCTCTTATAATGTGCTGCTAATTTGTCATGCCGGGCACTCATACAGTTCACCATCGCTTTCCAACCAGTAGCTCCTCCAAAGTACATACACGAACGATTAAGGCTGGCAGGGAACATATATATATATATATATATATATATATATATATATATATATCTATCTCCCTGGATTTGCTAATGAGGAACAAAAATACATACTGTGGTGTTGGATGCCAGACACAAAAACTGAGCAGACTTTGGGTGGGGAGCTTAGTGAAGGAGCAGATGGGAGTACTGGCTGCGATCTTGGGTCTGAGTTCAGGTTCCGAATGAGCCGTTTTCTTTCACCTCAACAAGTTTTTAAATTTGGAGAAGGAGGGATAAGTCACCCCCAAGTCATTTTCAATTTGTAGGTTGTCTATTTCTGCAGTTCATTTTCCTTTTAAGAAATAGGCAAAGCCATGTGGTGTTGCACGCCTTTAATCCCAGCACTTGGGAGGCAGAGGCAGGTGGATTTTTTTAGTTCGAGGCCAGCCTGGTCTACGGAGTGAGTTCCAGGACAGCCAACGCTACATAGAGAAACCCTGTCTCGAATACCCAAAAAAACAAACAAACAAACAAACAAACAAAACCACCAAAAACAGGGGAAAAAAAAGAAAAAGAAAAATAGCCAGGAAAGTACTAATTTTAGCCTCAAAAACCAAGAGAACTTTCTAACTCCTGAAAATGAGGATGGAAACATTCAGCATCTTTTAAAACCTAAGCCCACAGAGGAAGACAATGCAGCCAGTCCTGATGAGACCTGATAGGCTAGGGTCAGATGGAAGGGGAGGAGGACCTTCCCTGTCAGTGGACTAGGGGAGGGGCATGGGAGGGGTTAAGGAAGGGAGGGTGGGTTTGGGAGGGGATTAGAGAGAGGGCTAAAGGGAGGGGATACAAAGTGAATAAACTGTAATCAATAAAAAATAAATTAATTTTTAAAAGCCTAAGCAGTTGAACAGCAACTTACCTTTGGAAATCACGAGTGTGCATCTGCAATCTGGTCTTAGGACGCCGTTTACTTTATAGTTTGGCAGCGATCCTGGTCTTTCGGTGTTTCTTACCTTTTCGGTCGGCAGAGCAGGCAGCTAGAGCTCAATTAGATTTGTTAGATCAGAGTTTTAAACTGCTAAAGCAGGGGCGTGTCTCACCTTGTGTTTTGAATAACTTTATACAAGTTGAGAGGGCAGGGTGGCAGTAACCATTCTCCTCTCTACACTTTATTGTATTCAGGATCCTTCCAAGAAATTTCAGTTATGTCCCCAGTGCTAAAGGAGTGCGTATGCGCGCGCGCGCTCGTGTGTGTGTGTGTGTGTGTGTGTGTGTGTGTGTGTGTGTGTGTGTGTGTTTGGGGTGTGTGTGGGTGTCACAACAGTTATATGAACAGGCAAACGAACACCCTCTGACGTCCCCTGGAGGGGAGAAAATCTGAAATAAAGTGAGGTAATTAAACGTGGCCTTGGAGAAGTCTCCCAAACGTTCTAGTCGGGACTTCCAAGTGTGTGCGCGCTTTAGTTTTTCCATTCTTCCAGGCCCTGATCTTGCATTTCTAATAAAAGTGAAAGTGGTCTAAGGAGCAAAACAAAGCCTTAGTGCATGCTTCTGGCGTGCCAAGTTTAATCAATATTCCGGAGCGCTCGGGCTCCCCCTCCTCCCCCGGCTGTTTTCATTTTCCCACTCCCCCTTTCTCCTGCGCAGGCTCCGCCTCTTTTCTTAAGTTGCTTGATAGTAAGTGGCGGTTTCAGAGCACATGCATGTTGTCAGGCTAGCCTGCCCGGCCGCTCGCTGAGCTGCTACTCGGAGCTACCTGCTGGGGAGTGCGCCTCCGCGTCGCCTGGGGTGCCTTCCGCCGGTCGCGGAGCCGGGAAAGGTAAGCGCGGCCGCCTGCGCCCCGCGGAACTCAGGTCGGCGAGCCGCTTTTCGGAGCGCCGAGCGGCCGAGGAAAGCTAGCCATGTTGGTAGGTAAGGTCCTGTTAGGACCGAGCGCCGCCAGCGTGTGCTAACTATCCCTCTCAGCCCTTCCAGGTGGACTCGGGGGTGGACGGAGATCTGAGATCGAGAATAAAATCAAGGTTGAGCTGGCGTGCTTTAAGGCGAACTGACGGGTTAAGGACATCCAAACTGCTAGTTAAAAAAAAAAAAAAAATCTGGATTGTCCTTTCTCCCGTTCTTCCCCACCCTCTAAGCTTTTAATCTAGTGTAAAATCTTAAACACATTGCGGGTCCTACTACCCATGACCTCAACCTGCAGCTTTACTGAAAAGCCAAACTGTTAAGTCTTTTTTTTTTTTTTTTTTTTTTTTTCACTCTTGGATTTGCCGAGAGCCTGAGAGCGCCTGGCTTGCAGCGACCTCCCCCACAGACGCACACGCTGGCTCTGGCTGTGCCAGAGACACACGTCCGCAGGCGCGGCTCTTCTCCGCCGTGGCTAGGGATTAGGAATCGGGTACGGCCGCAGCTGGAAGCCCGTGATTTCCAGCAAGGCAAATGGTTCGGTCGTGGCTCTCCGGATAACCTAAGAGCGCTTTAAAGAAACCAGAAACCACACGCTGTAATGTTTGGAATGAAAACTGAATTCTCTCCTCGTCCGTTCCAGAAATCCTAAATTCAAAGTACGGAGGCAGTGATGGTTTCCTCAGGAAGCCTCGTGTGGCTCGCGGGTTTGCCATAAGCACAAACGTTGCTTTATGCTCCTCCGTCTAATGATATGAAAAGGGATTATGATTTCAGATAATTTATAGAGGTGCCTGGGGCAGGGTGCTTATTTCACCGGAAAAAGTCACCCCGTAAAAGCCTCAAATGCGTTTCTATCGACGCCTGGGCACTTGTGTTCTTTTTATGACAGTATTGACACGTTAATCGGCTCATGTTTCTTTCGTAGCGAAATAAATAAATAAAGCAGTGACTCGATTCACGTCAGTGGCTACATGCCAGTATCTCAGTTATCTCAGTCTTTTCTGTTGACATAGTTATGTCTTCGCCCGGTACAAGACATGCGTTATCGAGTGGCATTTTCTGTCTGTTTAGTTCAGCTGGCCATTTATTGAGTGTGTGGGTTGTTCCAGGCACTTGGCTGAGCTCTGAGAATAGAAGAACCCCTTACTCATCGAGGGGAAGAGCAAGCTGGAAATCGGAACACGGCTTTTGCTCATCTATTCTGATTGCATGTCCATTTTTTACGTAGTCCTGTAAAAGCCACACAATCTGGGCTGATACTGTAGCTCTTCAGTCTTCTAGTTCTGGTGCCTTCAGTGACATGAGCCAACACTGATTTCTCAGGCCAGGAGGCTGTAACTTTTGTCCCTTTCTGTTGCATTCTAGTTGTATTCTCTAACACCGAAGAGAAGAGGAGATTTCACTTTCTGGGGACAATTTTGAGACCCTGAAGTACAAGGACGTGTGTGATATTCCTAGAAAGATAAAACATGACAAAGAGCAATGGAGAAGAGCCCAGGATGGGAGGCAGGATGGAAAGGTTCCAGCAAGGAGTCCGCAAGCGCACGCTCCTGGCCAAGAAGAAAGTACAGAACCTCACCAAGGAGGACGTTAAGAGTTACCTGGTTCGGAATGCTTTCGTGCTGCTCACGGTCTCCGCCGTCATTGTGGGTGAGTCACTTGACCAAAACTGAAATTACAAAAGCCTGTATCCTGTTTCTGCGGGGCAGTTGCACGCCCGGGACTGTTATCAGATAGGCTGATTGTAGGTATTCAAACTGATAGTTCAGGGTCTCCTCTGCATTTGAAAAGGTTTTTCCCCCTTCCCTGAAACAAACAAACAAAAAAGTATTGTTGGGAACCATCTATGCTAAACATGTGAAAGAATTGTTAGCGAGTGTTTTACGCATCCACTGGTGGTGTGAAAAGAAATAAATCAAATGCCTTCTCATGTCATGTGAAGATAAAAAGAATGATAACTGAGTCATTAGGCAGGCCAGACGTAGCCAAAATATTATCAGTATTATACAATGCCACTTTTACTTAAAATTGATTTATGCAGTTACTACTGTACCCAAGATGAATCGTGGGCATCTGATAATAATCGTATCCTAGCTGGGGCTGACTTGATGCTGAATATCGTTGCTTAAAAATGGAAGTTAAACCTAGCCTGTGTTTGCACACTCTCAGGCGGTGACTTGAAGGTAAACTGGGAAAACGCTAACACAGGTCTCTTTCATTCGTTGCCTCACAGAGCCTTCCATAGCTTGCTGCGTCATTTTTTAAATATTCCAGTCCCTTACTAATTTAGCACGCTTGTCAGCAATCTGTATTAATAAACTCTTATTTGCTTGGTTTATAGCCATTTGAAGTTTTACTTTATTACTTATAGGCAACACAAACCTTACCTTAAAATGATGACGAAAAAACTAAATATTTGAAATTTTTGATCAAGCAGTGTAGACATCCTTAGACTGGAGATATGTAAACTAATACCAAGTCCTAAGATAGATTTCCTCCAATTTGTCACCAAAAGGTGTTCATGTTACGTTTGAATCACTGCTTTATAATTAGCTGAGATATCCACACATTTTAAAGAATTAAGCTGGCTGTGGTGTTGCACACCTTTAATCCCAGCACTCAGGGAGGCAGAGGCAGGTGGATTGCTGTGAGTTCAAGGCCAGCAAAGTCTAAAAAGTGAGTCCAGAACAGCCAAGGCTACACAGAGAAACCCTATCTCAAAAAACCAAAATAATAACAATTACTTCATAAAATATTAAGAAAGTTGTATAACTGTGGAGTGAGTTGATTTTATGAATGTCCAACAAAGAGGAAGACAGCAGGAGAGAAAAGTTTGCCATAGACCTCAAATTTCTCCCATTTTAACACGGTTGGCCCTTTTTAGTAGTGGTTGCTTAATGAGCTTCCAATTCATTGAAAAAACACTCAAAGGTAACATGTCCTGATTGAGCCAGAGAAATAATAGCTTTGTTCAGTAGGCTCCCAGCTTTGAATCCGTTCCAGGAAGAAGAGTTTTAATACTGTCCTTTTCCTGGGAGCCAATGCAAATGGCAGTGTTCTTGCCTCATTTTATGCTCTGAATCACAGTCGTTGTTAAACCGAGAGATAAGTTTTGACATATGCTTTTGCTAGTCTTTATTGAAGACAGTCCAGATACCTTCCAGGGTAGGGTTTGCATGCTCTCACCTGTGGTGGAGGGTGTGATACCATAGACACCCTCCTTTTATGGAAGACACTAGTCACAAAGAGATGGAGCGGCCTGCCCAAAGTCAGGATGCTGGAGAAGAGAAGAGAAGCGAAGTCATCTAGTGACAGACACTGTTCTCCTGGCAGAAGAGCCATCTTGCCCTCATTTATGCTGACTACCATCTTGTCTGAGAGATGCTAAGAGGGGAAATTCCATGTGGGGTGGAGGCCAGGGAGGCAGCTCTGCTAGAGGCAGCCGTACAACATAAACACTCTACCATTTAACTGATGAAGTTAAACTCAAGGGGGAAAAAATGATCATTCTTCTACAATTAAGTCTCATTCCTCACACCCATTTAATTAATACCCACTTGCCTTGCAATATGTATGGAGTACAGTATGTTAGGAAAAGAGACAGAACTGCCTATTCAAAATGGTATTCTAAACACCCAAAGTTCAATCTGTAAGACAGAAATATTTCCACTAAAGAATAGGAGAATGGGAAGGAGTAGAGCATTGAGCAGAAGTCAGATTAATAGAGAAGGAAGTTGCTAAATACAGAGGAACAGCATCGTTCCTAACAAGAAGAAACTGCCAGGAATTAAAGGTCCGTTTTTTTCTAGGGCTCTTACTTCTTAGCCCAGTGGGGCCTTTCCTCAAATTTGTGAGAACTGCAGTCAAAGTTGGCGGAGCTGAAGTAGATAAATTGGCTGGATGCCCTCATGGTTGGCTTTACTGATGGAAACTGAGGAGTTAGAAGCAGTAAGAAGAAGGCACTGACAAAGAAACACACACAAAAAAGCTCATTGACAGTCAGAGAGACCACCGAGTTTACACCAAAGGTCCTGAATAGCAAACAGACAACTTCTAAGCAAACAGATTTAGGAGAAAAAGGAAGATGTCTTTTGTTATCTGTTGGTATCTTCCACTGAAGGCCTAGCCGCAACAAAGGCTCCACTTGTCATTAGAGGCCATGCCTACATTAGCCCTTAACAAAATAATGGAGAAGGGATATGTCTGGACATCAGTTCTTTATTTGAACACAAATGGGGGAAGACAGATGCCAGCAAGAGGAGAAGAAATTATTTCCCCCAAATCTGATGGAGAAACATAGATATTAGTTTCCAAATTCTTAGGCATTGTCAGCACTCAGGAAAAGAAGGTGCTTAAAAGTTTATCCGATTCATTTTGTTTTTCCAAATAAGATGAATATGCATTTAATGTTAAAATGGAAACTAGACAGAAATACTGTGGGTAAGGGATAAGAAACATGTGAACCCATGACTCCAGAATAGAGCAGAGAATTGTAGTTATTTCAGCATCACTTCCTTTTCAAGTTTAAACACGTGCAGTTGTTTGCCATTTCTAAGCCATGGCAAGGTGTGAGCATGTTGTGCTATGACAAAAGCTCATATGTAACTAGGGAAAGTTGGCAGCGTGATAGAAGACAGCAGCAAGCTCCAATTCTCTTTGGAAGAGTTAGAGAGGAAAGCCTTAGAAAGCAGGTATCTTCCTTGTTACTGCAGACATTTGATAAACAGCACACCAGGAAGAAGAGTGGCTATTTGCCTTTCTCTAGAAAGTCCTTTCTCATTCCCAACCATGGTTAATTATGCTAGAGTGACCTCATATCTTGCTAAAAGAAAGGGAAAATTCTTTGTGTTATTGAAGACACAGAATGTACCCCTGTCAAGAGAATGTGTTTTCACAACAAATCAACACACAGGCCATGGGATCAACTGCAAGGGATGGGAATTGGAACATAGTACTAGTCAGATCACAAAGTTTCCCCTGAGAACGCCAGCACAGGTGGCACCTTCATTTGCTCTCAGTCTTACTGCTGGTACACACACAGAAAGTTGGTGTTTTTTGTAGCCGTTACCTGAGTTTGAGAGAAATTGACTTTTCAGAAAGTAAAATATATTGACTACATTTTAGTAAATTATCTCCTCCAATTCTCTAACTTCTTTTGGCAGTAAACTTAAGTAGACAAAAATTCAGTGTAATTCAATAACATCTCAAGAAATTGGCCATTGTGGATGCCTCTTGGAACAGAAGATGGGTGTCCGGAGAGTTCGGCAGAAGGGAAATTACTTTCCTCTGGTTAAGTTTCTGTATAGTTTGAAATTTCTATCTCATTATACACTATCAAGTGTATCTTTCCTCTTTTAAAGTACATATACAAAAATTCAATGTTATTTACCAATTTAACAATTACTGAAGGTTGTGTATTTGGTTCTGTGCTTTGCAATGAGTTTCCCTGATCTCAGGTAGTTTACTGGGAGAGATGGATGAAAAAGCAAGATGGAAAGGAAATATACAAGAGCCAAAGTTTGTAATAAGAGAAGTTTATAATCTGAACCTTTATATCAAATAATATACACATTTTGTTGTAGTAGATGCCTCTTTGTCTGATAGTACCCCAGAGGTTCCTATTTTTTCATTGGTTTGAGGGCCCTAAATGTACCATATTAATAATAACTGAGTTTAGGCTTGATAAAGAATATACCTGGACCCCTACATTAGTTGTATTATTCTATATCGGTGCGATTCTAGACGAAGTATTTAGTCTCTCTGAGGCTTGGTTTCCTCATCTTTTGTCACAGTTACATTCGGCTAACAATGGCAGCCACCCTCGCGTTGGGTGCCGCTCAGGTCTCTGTATTAACTTTGCTTAAACCTCACAACAACCAGAGAGGGAAGCACCTTTACTACACTTGTTTTGTAGATGAGGAAACTAAAACACAGACACACTTCCAGTGTTGATGCATACTGAGGAGGATTCTAGGCAGACACAGTGACACAGAAAATTCAGGATGCAAGACCCTTTGGACCCAAGAACCAGAGTGAGAGAGAGCCCGTGAGGATCTCACACACACACACACACGCACACACGCACACGCACGCACACGCACACACTGATCCCACTCTAGCTCCAGCTTCAGACCGTTATGCACACCATTTGTATGCCAGTGCCAGGAGTTGTTTATCCTCGCTTTGCTGTCAGCTACCTCAAGGCCTACACTGAGTCCTCCATTGTGAGAAATGAGAAGCAGAGACTGAGATCATTACAAAGGGTGCTTGTGAGACTTGATGGCTAAATGAAAGAGGATGGTGGCCCGATTCTCATATAGCCAAGTGGTTGAATACAAGAATTAGGATACAGGAGAAAGACCCAAGAATCAGAGTGTGTTCCAGTAACGTGCTGTTTGGGCACCCGTTGAGTCTGAGGGCGAATGCACCTACTAGACAGTGGAAGGGGCTCACTGCCATAAACTCAGGCCACACTCCTACCACGCTGTAGAGGATAGGGATGGCTTTGGATCATGAGCAAGTTATTAGTGTATCAGGCCGTCATCCTGCACACGCTCAGTCCTTCATGCCTGAAAGGAGTCATCGCTCAGAAATGCTGTCATATAGCCTGAGCCTCAGACACTTGTACCGCTCCAGCTGGCTGGGTTAGC